ACCTTTTATTTTTCATATTGCCTCACACACCCTGATTACACTCACTCTTGAAACCTGTATTTTCTGTTAACTATATTTATATATATACACACACATCATTAAATTAAATTATTTCATCTCATTCTGTCCCATGTTGTTATTGACCATGCATATTAAAAAACTATATGACTATTGTTTCATCCCATCTTATACTTGTTCCACAATACACTTTCTGATATGATTCTAATTTGCCTTTACTGGCTGGCTATTGTATGCTTAAATTAATGGATTTATAATTGTAGAGCCTGAAGAAGAATTTATTGAAAACAATTGTTCGCTCTAAATATTTTGTTCTGAATAAATTATGGGAATATTTAATTTATTGTTAATTTTGTATTTCCCCTCACCATACTTTATCAAGAGAACATTAGATTCAAAACTATAATAACATGCTAAAATTTCCAAACTGAATCGAGAATACTGTTTGATACAAACTCACTGTTATTATTATTATTAATATTAATATTTAATGATCTCAATTCGTGGTTCGAATATTTTTGACTTTATATCGTAAACGTGGACAAATTCGTTTGGTTACTTTTGTTTTAATTTTTAATTTTATTTATATTTTGAGTAAATCAGATGCGATACTGTGACAAATGCTGAGAAGTCCATTCTGTGTTATAAGTACTGTTTTTGAAATAAAGTAGATTATTATTATTATTATTATTATAGTTATTAATTCTTCTTCAACCTTGTTAAGCGAACATAACTTCCTGGATCCGAATTACGGTGTCCTTACTAATCCCAGGTTGTAGCTTGTAGGGCATTAGAAGCAACCAAGACAGGGTTGGAGTCCAGGTTAGAACACATATCAACACTCACTGGGAAACAAGCACATCAAGTTGACCGCTACCAGACCAGAAAAAATGCAAATCCTCGATTCCACCGCTAGTTATCACTGAATAAGATCGACTGTTTAGTTGATCCCTTCCAGTTTACACAGTTCGAGAAGATGAAATCTTACGACAGTTTATCCAGACCATAATATGTGATCTACTTGTTGTCATAAATGGTAATCAAAAGAGCAAGCATATTTTCATACAGTTATAAACTTCTGATTGATTGAGATGAGCGGATGTTGTATACCAATCACATCAACCAGCAGTGCTTGCTAACCAGCTAGAGCGAGGTGATCTGGACACCAGATGACCATTTCGTTATTTTTGCAGAGCTTTGCTCATCAACGGTGGACCCGATTTGACTCAGCTGAGAGAGCAAACCACATGAGTAAACCAATAACACCATAAATTAAATTCATAATTTGCAGATCAATTTGCTATTTGCAATGTACACGGTTTGAAAAGATGAACTCTGCTTGAAACCATAAATAGTAATCAAGAAAATAGCTAGGTAGATATCGGACTGTTCGCACTGATATGGCTATGTCTCTTAGCTCATTGAATCCAGTTCCGAAGGAACAAAACAGGAATCCGGTATTTAGGTGACTTCTATTTGGCTAGCTACCAAACAACACTGGTTCATATGAGTGGTATGCAACTTTTCATCACAATCAATGAGCAGTAATAATAATAATAATAATTAGCTTTATTCCAAAACAGTACTTGTGACACAGAATGGAATTCTCAGCATTTACATACAGTATTGCACCCAGTTTGTATATTAACAATAAATAAAATTCTGCATAAATTAAGGGTAATCTCAGTTAGTTTTGACAACAACATATTGGCATGTCGGTAGCAAGCCAAAATTGAACAGAGTGTTTGAAGGTGTTAGAAAAGTAGATGCTAGCATATTTACTGGCGTAAGCGGTAACAAAAAAGGTCGAGATATACAGAGTGTGAAAGAACGAAGAAGAAGAATGTTTTAAATAGAGTTTGTAAGGATAAAAGAAACAAAACAGCACATAACAAAAAAAGAGAAAAGGAAAAGAAAGAAAGAAAACGTTGTAGCTGTAAATTATATGAGTTGGGAAGACGAGATCCAGTTGTTCTACTGACTATTTAATATGTCATAAGTTTCACGCCCAATGCTTTCTTTATTGCAAAAAAAACACGAGCTAAGTAGGGTCTGGTTTATGGTTTAATGTTCAGTTGATGTTTATAGATTTTAGACGTTATCTGCACTTGAACTGTATTTAAGACACGGATATTGGAATTCAGTATCTAGGTCACCCGAATACAGCTTGATCACATTGTAACAATCGAAGGCAAAATACGGAAGCGAAAGTATATTTTGCATTATTCAGACCGCTGTTTAATAAATCTACAGTATATATTTGTTAACTAATTCGGTAACTGAGCCCGTATTTTCGGTTCACACCAAACGGCATGAAATAGAATGATCAAATATACACAGTATTCTTTTGCCAATGTTGTATTAAACTGTGGGAAAGTAGTCTCTCTCTCTCTAACATCAAATAGAATGTTCAAATAGATGTATATCGTATTCTGTTGTTAGTGGCGCGTAATGAACTGTGGGAACATGTGAGAATAGCATTCCGTTGGCACACTCATTGTCTGTATCACACCATCACAACATAGTGGTAAGTTCATCTGAGTGATTATTATTATTATGATAATATAGATTATTTACACAAAATGTTTGCTGCTACGCCAACTAGAAGATCAATTAAAAACAAACTCTAGTGTACATTAAGCACGTAGGACGTTTAATTCTGATCCTAGGTGTTATAGTGGAGATATAGCGGATTACATATTCACTATGTTCAAATCTGAAACATATCCCTCATTTTTTTCACACATTTAAAATCAATAGTAGACGGAATTCAATCCACTTCTGAGTTGAAGGATAAAATGAAGGCGAGATGGTAGGTTAGGTACTAGCATATATTGGAAACTGACACACACTCTAATAAATACTTTGACTTTAATTCATCCCATCTAGAATAGGTAAAAATAGGTTTAGTTAAATGTCCGTATCTTCTTGTGTCGTGCTTATTAAAGACAGTGTCTCTCAAGGTGTTGTTCTCTTGCCCTATTCGTGTTTCTTTCTTATTATATGATTTGCCTCTTTAAGAAGAAATGAACTTCGTTAGACTCGTTGATTTTCTGACTGTCTCGTTGCCAGCTACCTCCTGATCTGACTGCACCAAACTGAATATCGAACACCAGGCAGTGGTCGAAGCTAAATGCTCTTAATTTAAATCCTTCCAAATGTCAGACACCTGATTTCAACTTCAGACTCAAACGTTCTGTACACAGACTTGTTTGTTCACATAATATTTGTAGCATAGAAGGCAATAAATTAGAAACTAATGGAAGCATTAAGTACCTTGCAATACTTCTATCCTATGACTGTTTTTGATCGTATTATATCTTGTTGATTGCTATGAAAATATTCCGACTAATCTTCTTCATCGCGGCGTTAGGACAATCAGATATCACTCAACCTCTACTTTTTGTAGTTTCTTAACTCTTGTATTATGTGAATTATTCTTTATTGCTTTCGCTTTGTCTTTCTTTGGCTACACAAAAAGGACTATATCATATTGGGTGGGGTATTAAAGGTTGTTAGTAGGGCAAGTAGTATCCCACTAAGCCAGTAATTGTCTAAATTCATGTTACCTGATTCTCAAAACCCTTTTTATTCACAAATCCCCCCCCTTCCATCTCATCATCATGTGAGACTAGAAGCCATTATGAAAAATTATACGCTCTGACAAACTAGTCCAAAATCTCAACGACATCCTATTTGGCCGGCCTTCTATGTGACAGATATGGAATAAATTGTGGAACTTACAACGTAGTATATAATTACCACAAAAATAAATGGCTCTTTCATCTTTTATTTGCAAATTTTGGTGACACTGCAACAACAGAAGACAATGGCCAGGCAACAGATCCTTTATTGAAGAAATCAACACATATTTGTGGATTTTCATGTATACTTTATAGATTATTGTTAGGAGATAAAAACAGTCTTCTGATTGATTGTTTTTCACAGAAAGTTAACCTTGCATCTCTTTGTGGTTGTTTCTTGAATGTTAGATCATCTATATGTTACCTGTATCCGCCTACGCAAAATCAGTCTTTCTTCTGCCATTATCAGTTTTCATTGATTAATCAGTCAGTAACCTGGGGCTCTAGTATAAAGTCGTGATCATTAAGGTACAGGAGGTTGAAGCTGAGGCAGTAAGTTGTCAAAGAAGACATTGCGAAATGGTTGCGCTATGTTTTGAATTAGCAGAAGTTAGGATTCATGGACTGGCCATTGGATTGGGGTCCAATCGTTCAATGGTCTACGACCTCACTAGCCTTGTAACCAGGAAGTTGTGGGTTCAAACCCTGTCGGTGGGTGTGTACTGATGAAGAGTCCCAAACTAGGTTGACGCAACAACTGGTTATCCAGTACTTCCTGCTGGTTTTTCCAATGGTTCTCCAATTGATGTCAGTTCATAATGAAATCCTTCATCAAATTATCAGTTTTGTTTGCCTAACCCATATAATGAGTGTTTTTAATGTTGAGTAAATTATATTCAGTAATGCACGAAATGCTGAGTACTGTTTGTGAATAAAGAAAATCATTTTTATTATCATTATTTCTAATTTTTATAATTATAATTGGAGTTGAAACTAATCTAGGCTGCCCAACTTTCTGATATCATGCTCAACATTATACACTATGCATTCTGTCTCCAAAAGTAATAATGGTCGATAGCAGTAAACTAATCAGAATATAACAGCTTCATGAAAAAAAAATGGACTTCATTTGAGTAGTCTACAAATAAGTCGCTTTTTCCCCACTGTTGTTGTGCGTATATATATTCACATATGTGTGTATGTGTGTGTGCGTCCGTACGTGCATGTGTTTGCTTGTTTGTTTGTATGAGTGAGTATATAGGCGATTAATCCTTCCAGCTAAAAGTGTAGATGTGAATGAACTCATTTTTAAAGCATTTTGATTGGTGATTTGATTGGCTGGATTTGTCGGTTGGTTAGTAAGTAGTCTTGTTGTTCACAAATAAGCAAGTTAAGTATACTTATTATACAAAATAGTATTAAGTATATGTCAATATGTACTAATCTAAACAATATAAGTTGAAAGGAAACTTACTCAGGTGAACAGAATAATGGGAAGAGAGATAGCAGCATTGTATTGACTCAATCTACTCCTAAAAATACGTTCATCGTTATTTTATACATTTATTACAAAGTAGTTGAGCTTAATTTGAATGAAACTCACATTTTGATCATTAATTTATATACCTGGATAGATTTTGTTTTAACCATTCATCGCGTCCTTGAACTGCTTGAAAAAAAATAAACGTGTTACTTCATAATCAGTTAAAAACACCGAAACTGCTGAGTTATTCTGTTTAACAAAATCAAACCATTACTAACTTTATTATTATTATTATTTTGATAACAATTTTATTGAATATCTTTCATTATCCTAATTACAATTATTTGGAATTAATTCATCAATTTTTTTTATTATTAAATTATGAATTATGGTGTATGTTTTGCACGGAATTCTAAATTTCCCACATCAACAAAAAGCTCAAACACTTTGTCCTCTACAATATTTGAATGCAAATCCAAATACTCCATCATGGTCACCGCATCCATCATTGACTATTCAACAGGCTAATTCATCAAATGCTTTGTCGAATCAGTGTATATTGAATTTTTTCAACGGTGGTGGTGGTGGAACGCCAACTGTAGCGGCGGCTAATGGAACTGTATTGGCGGACACAACAATAGATCCAGTTGTATTGCCTGAACAACAGCAACAACAACAATGGTCAAGAAATTCAAATATTGAATTTATTCAAAAATCTATATCACCAGTATGGAATGGGGAATATCATACTGGAGAGAATAATTTCCCAGTCTTATTGGAATTGCCTACAAGCATAAAGGTAAGTAGGAAGATGGATGTTTGTCTTGACATGTTTGACAAACCATAGAATGTTTATAGATTTTGTTTCACGTCTATGTTGTTTTTCATAAAGAAATCTTTCTTGAATGGTCTAGGCCCGATTATGCCACTGCTAGCATGTATTACGGCATTCATGAGTTTGTGCTACCACACCACCTTAACTAAATACTATAGCAGAAGATATGATTGCCCGATACTCATCGCATAATGTGTAAGCTACTCAACTCTTCTACTGGATAGGATGTTCCAGCGAGAGCTAATGACATGTATCTATCCTCTGCATTTGAAGATATTTTATCAGTGGGTTTCAAAAACAATTCTTAAAAATAATTTTTCCATCTTTTCAATATTTATAACCGTCAAACAGAGATTAGGTAGTTACGACCAAAACTGACTCGTTGTAGTTTGAACTCAGGAGACCAACCTTCGCATTCTCTTGTATAACTAAACAAACTTTCCATGAGACACTCACAGTTTAAAAAACTCTTCAAGGGAAAAGGAACGGTTATTCGCTTTAAAATTTTTTATGGCACTCTTCAAAAGTAATAACACTTCATAAATACAAAATTACCTCAACGATGCCATGAGGTGGCGATACAGATCAGATGAGTTCTTCAGTACCAAACAAGTACTGTAGAACAAGATTAGTTAACGAAAATTGAAATTTTCTATGGTTTGGTTTGTAAGGGTTAGATATGTTTTTACGAGTTGATCACGGATTGATATCAGTTAGAGAACCATTGAAAACCAGGGAGTACTGGACAGCTGCTGTTTCATCCTAGTTTGGGAATCATCGGCAGTACGCACCCACTGGGATTCGAACCCAGGACCTTCCGGTTACAAGGCAAGCTCGTATACCATTCAGCCACTGGGACTCGATTCAATGGCTCGTGAATTCTAACTTCTACCAATTCGTGATTTTAGCGCGACCCCAACCATTGTCGTTGGTGGGACATCCATCCACACACGTGACATCTAATTGGACCTCACTGGTCACGACTTCTCACTAGAACTGACTCCAGGAAACTCGATCCCTTAGCAAGTCACTAGCGAGCATCGTATACCAAGCTCGTATACCATTCAGCCACTGGGATCCGATTCAATGGCTCATGAATTCTAACTTCTGCCAATTCGTTGTAACCGGAAGGTCCTGGGTTCGAATCCCAGTGGGTGCGTACTGCCGATGATTCCCAAACTAGGATGAAACAGCAGCTGTCCAGTACTCCCTGGTTTTCAATGGTTCTCTAACTGATATCAATCCGTGATCAACTCGTAAAACATAACTTATCCTTACAAACCAAAACTATAGAAATTACAAAGTTATTTTGAAGTGAATAAACAAGTAACCGTATCGCAAATAGATCGTTCGGGAGGGATTCTTGTGACAACTATTCCGTCAAAATTTATATTATTATTTATTATTATTGTTCCCTTGGGTTCCTAGTGGAACATATGGTTTCAACTGCACGTCTCCACTTGCTTCAATCTTCTGCTGCTGTACTTTTCACCTCCATCCATATTAGTCCATACTCTTTCATTTCCTTCACACGATCTCCTCCAGGTCACCCTTGCACTGACTTCCCACTCTCCGTGTGCTTCCCTTTTGGCCTGGTTCCACTCGAGCAATGGCCTGACGCACGCGCGATGTCACCCACCGGCCTCCTCAGCCAGTGTCTAATCCATCCATCTCCACTTTCTCACGCATATTTGTTGGGCGATTGGTTTGTTCTTGTTTTGTTTGTTCCCATAGTTTCTTGTTAGAGATTCTTTCCGGCCCCATTACAATGAAATGTTCAAAATTTGCATTGTGAGATATCCATATTAACAGATTTGCTTTGGTAGTTCAACCCGGAATGAATCACTAATAAAGTTTATTTCAATCACTTTGCAAGAAATACTGGGTTACCATTATTATTAACTTTAAAATCAAATGTTATTGAGGAAATCAATTCACTTTAGACTTCTATTTTAAGTGGAATGCGTGATACCCCGGGGATCACATGTATTCACTGAAATCTCAAATAAAAAACACAACTATACTCATGTTACTCAACACAAACGTTATTAAGTAAATCGATTCATGAGGAAGACAAAGAAATATTTACGTGAAATTGCTTTCTAGTGATGAATCTTTTAGAATTAGCTTTATTTACTATGAGAGATCTTCTACAACTGTCAGACATTCTTCACGTAACAGCCAGCTGTGAGTATTTGACAGTTGTTTCCTCCTAATACAGTGACTACTTGCTGGTGCGAACCCATCACCCTAACAATGGTGACTGAACTCGAAGCCTTCGGGTTACAAGACCAAGTTCGTCAACCATTCATCGAAATTGGGCCAGAATTCATTAACTTGTGAATTTTAAATTTGTCAACAGCGCTACTTTCACAGTGTTTTCGATGAGCATCCGCTTCACTTTGACATGTCGGGAGTCAATAGTCACGCATTCCAACTGCACAGCTGCAGGAAATCCATTCACTAGTCTTCAGTCAGCTGGTGGTTGGTTGACATTCAGACTATAGGATTTGTATGAATTTTGATTCAACTATAATTGTTAGATTTCCATGAGTTGACATCGTTAGAATTCAGACGTTTCTGAATTCCAACCGGAATGTCTAAAGGGTTAATCACCTTGGTCTCGTAACCTGAAGGTTTTTTTAGGTTTGATCCTTGATGGGGTTGTGGGTTCGCACTGATGAAGTGTCCCACAGTTGGACTAAGCAACCTTTCTTCATTGTTCCCTGCTTTTCAATGATTACTCTAAATAATGTTGTTTCCTGACGAACGTATGTCAGTCGTAATTAATCTAAAATCCTTACATATTAATCCGATAATCTGGATTGGAGTTTTTGACAGTGTTTTAATATAATTGACAGATGCCTAAGCTTTTTTAAATTGCTTTTGGTCTGTTTTCATTAACTTGAAGATTATTCTAGACGATGTACAGCCATCCTAATGACTTTAGATATTAATTAAATTATGCAGTCCTTCGCATGCATCAAAATTACACAATGCCAAAAAAAAACTAATACCTTCATTGAAGGTTGTGCATTTCCCACCCGATTCTCAGCCATGCACACTTTGACTTCATAATCAATCTTACCTGAAGAATAAAATTTTTAAGGACAAAAATTTTCCTTAGGTGATCTTTGTGTATTTTTTCTGATCATAATAACGGAAAAAATCAGGGAATTGCTTGATACAAGGCTTTCTAATGATTGACAGAGGTACAACTCTGTGGAGTTCTACTTACCAATAAATATCTATATATTGCAAAAGCACTATGAATTTTAAAATATTTGAGAGAATTCAGAGCTCATATGGATGTTCTTTTTTGATGTTGTTCTGTACTTTTTGAGCGGTATATTTTATTAATTAAGAAGCCTATTTTGGTCTTCCTAGACAGCGTTTTCAGAGCCATCTTCACACTTACACTAAAATAAACTTTTTTATGCTTACTTTATTATTTACTGCTTTGATATCGAGTCGAGAGAAGTTAGAGAACCGCTGAAAAACGTGGGAGTAATAGACAGTTATTTCGTCCCAGTCTGGGACTCTTTAGAAGTACGCACCCACTGCCAGTGTTTGAACCCGAGAACTTCTGATTATAAAAGCAAGTTAGTACCTCAATGGGTGTGTAATGCCGAATAATTCCAAAACTAGAACTAAAAGGCTGTACGGTAGTTTGTTTAGGTCCTCCAACTGATGTCATCTCGTGGTCATACCCGTAGTCAATCGATTCCCAGCAAACTAACACTAGCAATATCACACAGTTATCGCAAGGTTACGGCAAAATATGTATACAATCTTAATAATACAGTTTTCTGTTTTGACCAGCATAACCATCGAAAATATCCTCACACTACCTGTTGTGGTTAATAATAAACAAGTGGGGTTACAACCTTGACACAAACAAAATCAAGAGAATACTTTATAATTTGGAGTGATCTTATATGAATAATATTTTGCATGTAACCCATTGTGAATTCCAGGAAGTTCAATATCAATTAAATTAAGTGGTAAAGAAACGATTAGGACAGAAATTTAATGAAATTTATTTTCTAATCAATTATATTTCAGTTTCTACTTCACTTAGTTTACTGCACCAAATAAAACAGCCGGCTGATAAACGCAATGTTTCTGTTCCGGCTCTTAAAATCTCAGGACCTAGTATAAATGACTACTTAACCATAAACTGTGCGTCGGTGGCGCAGCGGTTAGGATGCTCGCCGACCATGCTTATGGTCTGGGGTTCGATCCCTGGCCGGCGCACTCCTTTACCTCACTCAGCCAGAAGTAAAGCTGGTGAAGAGGAAAGGTTGGGCATAGGGCTAGCAACCTCATCCTGTAAAATTAAACACTGCTACAGAAACTTCAAGTCACTAGCTTGAAGCCCTATGTTCCACTGGGAACGTGAAGGAAAATAAATAATAACCATAAACTAATCTGACAACTACTCAGTCAAATTTTAAATTTTCGGTATAGTAATAAGTTTCATTGAAATATAGAAACACCCTTCACCAGTGGTGTTTATAAACGCCTCAATCTCAAAAATGGGTTTTTCTTTATAGTAAATGCTGGCTTATTTTCGGTTCGTTTACCTACCTATGAAACGGGAACATGTCAGATGAACACAGCTGAATCCACCTCACTAACCAATACCAATTCATCATATGACATTATGCAGTGACCAAGACCGACATGTTGCGGTCTGAACACAGGAAACTTGTCTTTGCATTCTCCTGTATGCCTGATCGAAACTTAAGTCACCCAAGGTAACAAAATACTCCAAAGGTAGTAAAACAATGGTCATTTGCTACAGGATTTCATCATGAGCTGACATCAGTTAGAGAACAACTGGAAAACTTGGTAGTACGGGACAGCTGTTTCGTTCTAGTTTAGGACTCTTCATTGAACGCACCCACTAGGCTTCGAACAATGGTCGTTTCCCTTAAAATCTGAAGTATTATTTAACAATA